TTAAGTTAAGATTCATAAATTAGTCTTGTTCTTTGTAATAATTTCCTGCACATTGAATTTTAAACATGAAAAGTGATTGTTTTGAGCATGTTGTGACTCTAGAACTTGAACCTAAATTTGGAATGGATGTGGAGATTTTCATGTGGTATTGTGGGTGTTAAAAAGGTGTTGTTGTAGGTTGTTCACTGGTTTGGCTGCATAATTACTACCCTATTTTCCATGCTCTTTGATTCCATTACATGCCTTCAAGGTGTTTGACAAAATGTCCAACTATGGAGAATTGATGAATCGATGCTTTAAAGCTTGAGGTATGAGTGTATGGAAATCCAGAGATGTGTTGATGACAAACTAAGCTTGTGTATATGTTCATTCCATACATGAGATTGCATTAGAGCCTAATGGAAATTTCCTATATAAAGTGTTGCATGACCATGCCCGGTCTGGGGAAGAGAACCGGACAACCATGTGAGAGGCTTATATCTCACCACCTAGGATGCTTGGGGTGTGACCAACATCAACCATGTGAGAGGTTTATATCTCACCACCTAGGATGCTTGGGGTGTGACCAACATCAACCATGTGAGAGGTTTATATCTCACCACCTAGGATGCTTGGGGTGTGACCAACATCAACCATGTGAGGGGTTTATACCTTGCCACCAGGGTGTCCGGGTGTGAACGGCATCCCCCATCCTAAGTTGGGGTTAGAGACTAGTTGGATCATGCATACACATATGATATCTACTATTAGTATAGATTTACTTAAACATGTTTTGACTTCACTTTGATCATGCATCCTCATATTGTTATTCATAATGCCTATGAAACTATTTCTTGTATTTCGATTGTGTCCTTGTCTATTGTTGTGTTGCACCCCGCATACTTAGTACATTCTAAGTACTAACGCATATTTTGCCTACATGATGTCACCATGTAGGGACCGGAGCTACTCTTGATCCTTCTCTCCATTCACGTGGCTAGTACGCTGCTTATCCGATTTGTTGGTGAGTCCTCAATGATTCGAGGGCTATGTTATGTTTCCTACTCCTATGTTTTGAGACTTTAGCTTGCAATTGTATTTTGACTATGAGGGGAGCGGTAGTATGTCATGGCCCCGTTCTATCTATGTATGTAGAGGTGTGCGTTGGACAAGTATTTTGTAAATGAGCTTGACTCTTGTTCTATGATGTCATTTTGAAATGGTTTGCCCTTAGTCCCTATTTCCCGTTAATTAATGTTGAATGTACTTCCGCAACCTATGAAGTGTGATGACAAGTTTGAGAGCTTGTTTGGGGTTCCTTCGGGTTCCTCATTCGCCATGTCACGTCTAGGCCCTAGGCTTGGGTCGTGACAAGCTTGGTATCAGAGCACTAGGTTGTTAAATTCTCGGAGTCCAACACACCGCGTTGAGTAGAGTCCTAATCATGGTTGTGAAGCGCGCCACGACTATGAATGGGAGGCTACAAAACATTTTAGGAAAGGTTTCCCTTCTTCATGTTCTATGTCGTGCTTAGAGTGCGATAAGGTGATTCCTCCCTAACGCTTATTCTTTGGATTGCTAGTTCATCATGCCAAACATGAGGGGAAGACGGGCCCGATCACCGGAAGAGCTACCCACCAATGGTGAGCTCCGTGATGCACTCACCATGCTTGCACAAGTGGTAGCTAACCAAGTGCAACAAGGAGCCCAAGCTCCTCGAACTACCACCCCGGGGGAAAGGGTGAGAGATTTCATGAGGATGAACCCTTCGGTCTTCCATGGTTCAAAGGTGGATGAGGACCCGCAAGATTTCATCGATGAGGTATGCAAAATCTTGACCATTATGGATGTTGGTGCTTGTGAGAAGGCGGAATTGGCGGCCTACCAACTCAAGGGGGTTGCTCAAATTTGGTTTGATCAATGGAAGGGTGAGAAAGGTAATGGCTATGTGGTGTTGTGGCAGTAGTTTAAACTTGCTTTCCTTAATAGGTTCTTCCCTCTTGAGCTTAGGGAGGCAAAGTTGGTGGAGTTCATGAACTTGAAGCAAGGAGCTATGAGTGTGAGGGAGTATGCCCTCAAATTTGTCCAACTCTCCAAGTATGCACCTCACTTGGTGGCCGACTCTAGGTCGAGGATGAACAAATTTGTGATGTGTGTATCCGACTTGGTTAGTGAGGAGTGTCGATCCGCTATGCTCATTGGAGATATGGATTTGTCTCGGTTGATGACTTATGCCGAGCAAATGGAGGAGGAGAAATTGAGGAAGAAAAGGGGGCACGAGGCCAAGAGGGCCCGATTGGAGAATAGGTTCCCTAAGGGTGCTAGATTTCATCAAGGCCGAGGAAACCCTCATGTCAACCGGGGATTTGCTATCAATGTTCCTAGACCTCAAGGGGAGGTGAAGTGGGTTCTATGGATGTATGCCCTAAGTGTGGGAGGAAGCATGGTGGTCCTTGCATGAAGGGTTTGGGTGCTTGCTTTGAATGTGGAGAAGTGGGTCATAAGAGGTTTGAGTGTCCCAAGATCCGCAACAAGGTCTGAAGTGCTAACACTACTCCTTTGGGTAGAGGTGCTTCTCAAAGTGGTGCCCCAAGGGACAATCGATTTTATGCTTTGCATGGTAGACAAGGTGTTAATGAGACCCCGGATGTAGTGACCGGTATGTTGCAAATCTTTGATCTTGATGTTTATACTTTGATTGATTCGGGTGCCACCCTTTCCTTTGTTACCCCCTTAGTTGCTAGAAAATTTCATGTCGAGTCGGAATTGTTGCATGAGTCATATGAAGTATCTACTCTCATTGGTGTCTCTATTGATGCTAGAAAAGTGTATAGAAATTGTCCGGTTTGCATATTGAATAAGTTGTTGCCTTGCGATCTTGTTGAGTTGAACATGGTAGATTTTGATGTTATTCTTGGGATGGATTGGTTGCATGCATATTATGCTTCTATTGATTGTAGGACTCGTAAAGTCAAGTTCCGATTTCCTAATGAACCCGTCCTTGAGTGGGAGAGCAGGGATGTTGTGGTGAAGGGGAAATTCATTTCTTGCATTAAAGCCCATAGGTTGATTTCCAAAGGGTGCTTGTACCATATTGTGAGAGTCAATGATGTGGAGTCTAAAGTCCCTCCTATTGAGTCTATTCCGGTTGTTAATGAGTTTCTAGATGTCTTCCCAGAAGACCTTCCCGGTGTCCCTCCCGAAAGGGAGATAGATCTTGGTATAGACCTCCTTCCCGATACTCAACCTATTTCTATCCCCCCTTACCGTATGGCCTCGGCGGAGTTGAAAGAGTTGAAAGAGCAATTAAAAGATTTGTTAGAGAAGGGGTTTATTAGACCTAGTCATTCTCCCTGGGGTGCTCCGGTTTTGTTTGTGAAGAAGAAAGATGGGTCTCTTAGAATGTGTATTGATTATCGACAACTTAATAGGGTCACCGTCAAGAATAGGTATCCTCTTCAAAGGATTGACGATTTATTTGACCAATTGAATGGGGCTAGTCACTTCTCTAAGATTGATCTTCGGTCAGGGTATCATCAAGTGAAGGTGAGGGAGTGTGATATTTTCAAGACGGCCTTTCGTACTAGGTATGGGCACTATGAGTTTGTGGTGATGTCTTTCGGGTTGACTAATGCTCCGGCTCTCTTTATGGATTTGATGAATAGGGTTTTCAAACCCTACCTTGATTCTTTTGTGGTGGTGTTTATAGATGACATCTTGATCTATTCTCGGGGTGAGGAAGAGCATAAGGGTCACTTGAGGGTTGTACTCCAAAGATTGAGGGAAGAGAAGTTGTACGCTAAATATGAAAAGTGTGAGTTTTGGTTGAAGGAAGTTGCTTTCTATGTTTGTTATGCATCAGATGTCGCCAAGTTAAGGAATCTCCTGTGTCCCATTTCTTGCTAATAGGATTTGATCTTTGACAATATTTAGCCTTCAAAAAATCTCCCCAAAGGGTTTGTTTGGATCTAAAGCACTACCATTGTTTGTATTGGAATGCCTTGCATACATCCTTAAGGTTTCTCATGCCAATACCTCCTTCATCATAGGGAAAACTTAAGTTTTTCCAAGAGGCCCAATGATATTTTTTCCTCTCGTTCCTCCATCCCTAGAAGAAGTCAGCCATAATACTTTGAACCTGTTTTAGGACAGTAACAGGAAGGGTCACTGCTGATAAGAGATGTATAGGTAGGGATTGTAACACATGTTTGACCAAGATCGCTCTACCTCCATAGCTCAATAACCTTGTATGCCAGCCTGTAATTCTGCCTAACACTTTGTTAATGAGATCCGAGAAGTAAATGATTCTCGGTCTACCCACAAATAAGGGGCAACCAAGATAAGTAAGAGGGCCATCTTTCTGTTTGAAACCAGTGATTCTCTTGATTCTATCCCTAGTGCTATTGAAGGCACTAGTATGGACCATGTAGTGGCTTTTGTCACTGTTAATAAATTGGCCTGAGATCTCCTTGTAGTTCTTCAATGTTTGCATAATGAGCTTAAGAGTCTTCTGTCTTCCTGAGGTGAAGAATATAATGTCATCAGCAAAGCTTAAGTGGTTCACTTGAGGACCTCTTGGTTCCATGTAGAAGCCAAAGTATTCCGGATGGCTGTGAAGTCTGTTGAGGGATCTGGACAGGACATCTGCGCCTAAAATAAATAGGGCCGGGGATAGTGGATCACCTTGTTTGAGACCTCTAGTGGAGTGGAAGAAACCATGCCTTTTGCCATTGACGATGACAGAATACCAATTGTTAGCCATGATTCTCCAAACCATATCAATAAAGACCTCATCAAACCCCATTCTTCTTAGCACCAAACAAATATAGGACCAAGAGACCCTATCATAAGCTTTAGCCATGTCTAATTAATAATAACATTGCTTCTAATATTAGGTCTCTTGATCTGATGAATGATCTCTTGTGCCAGCATGATGTTTTCAGATATGCTTCTCCCTTTAACAAATCCAGATTGGTTGAGAGATACCAAATTAGGTAGAATAGGACTAAGTCTAGAGCTCACTATTTTAGAAATGATCTTGCTAGTGAAATTGCTAAGACTGATAGGCCTGAATTCTGTGAGTTTATTGGGTTACTCACCTTGGGGAGGAGCACGATGCAAGAGTGAGACATATATTTGGGAATCATTTGACCACAAAAGAAGGCATGGATGACATCAAGGAGGTCATGCTTAATGATATTCCAACATTTTTGAAAGAAATATCCATTCATCCCATCCGGACCAGCTGCAGAGTTAGGATTCATAGAGAAGATTACTTCCTTCAACTCTTCCAGATTAGGCATTGTAGTTAGGCTGCTATTTTGTTCTTGAGTGACTATCCTGGGGATGCACTCCAATGCCCTCTCATTGATCAGGTTGCTTTCCCCTGTAAATATTTCCTGAAAATGCTCACAGGCTGCTTCAGCAATATTATCGTCTCCCTGTATCAAATCCCCATCACTCCTTCTAAGTTTGTGAATGAATAATTTTCTTCTTCTTCCCCTTATCAGAGTGTGGAAGTATTTTGTGTTACTATCCCCCTCTTTGAACCACTGTAACTGAGTCTTCTGTTTCAAAATGGAATCTTCAACCTTCAAGAATCTGATGTACTTTGCATTGAGTTCATGGAGTTTAGCTCTGTTGGTGTCACTATGCTCGTGAATTAAGCTCTCCTCTGCAGTTCTGACTTTTTCTTCATACTCTTTGACTTTATTGAAGATGTCCCCAAATTCCTTTCTCGACCAGTGACTAAGGGTGTTAGACAATCTTTTCAATTTCTGGTGGAATTTCCACATATTGTTGCCCTCTACAGTCCTTTCCCAGCAGGTCCTTACTATGTCCAGGAATTTAGGCTGATCAGCCCAGCAATTAAGGAACTTGAAGTATTTGATATGCTCTTCCTCCCTTACAATCATTTACATCAGTAGGGGGCAGTGATCTGATCCTACAGATGGTAAGTGAGTGATGGTAGTCTGAGGCATTTTTTTCAGCCAAGTATCAGTGACCAGAGCTCTGTCCAGTCTTTTCCAAACTCTCTGTGTTATACCTCTGTTATTGGACCAGGTATATTTCTGTCCATTGAAGCCTAAATCCAGAAGACCACAAGCTTCAATAGTAGCAATGAATTCTAGACTTTTTCTCATATTGTAGGGAACTCCACCCAGCTTTTCTTCAATAGTAGTAATAACATTATAGTCACCCACAGAGCACCAAGGTTTGTTAGAATCAGCAGCTTGAAATAGCATTCTGTCCCATAAAGGTCTTCTGAGATGATCTTTACATTTGGCATACACAAATGTAATCTTGAAAGGAGTTTGAAGCTCATTATGGCCAATGTCGCAAGTGATTTGTTGTTCATCCTCCTCCAGAACTACACAATCAATGTCCCTGTCCCAAAAAATCCAAATTTTGCCATTGCAATTACTCCTAGCATGTTCCATAGCTAGTTGGTTTTTAAAATCTTGTATGTGAGTAGTGTCTGAGAAAGGTTCGAGAATAGCAATAATAGAGAGTTGATGCATCTTCTTAAGCATTTTGATTTAGTGTTTAGGGTTTATGGTGTAGAGTTTAGGATTTAGGGTTTGGATTTAGTGTTTAGGGCAAAGGATTAGGGTTTAGGTTTAGGGTTTAGAGTTTAGGGTGTAGGGTATTGGGTTTAGGGTTTATGATTAGGTTTATGGTTTAGGTTTAGGATATAGGATGAGTGTTTAGGGTTTAGGGTTTAGTGTTTCAGGTTAGGGTTTAGGGTAAGGATTTAAGGTTAGGATTTAGGGTTAGTGTTTAGGGTTTAGGGTTTAGGGACAGTGTTTTGGGTTTAGGGTTTTAGTTTAGAGTTTAGGGTGTAGGGTTTTAGGTTGAAGTCTTAGAGTTTACAGTTTAGGGTTTAGGATTTAGGGTTTAGAAGTTTGGATTTAGGGATTAGGGTTTAGGGTTTTTTGTTTAGGATTTAGGGTTTTGGGCTAGGGTTTACGGTTTAGGGTGTAGGGTTTAAGGTGTAGGTTTATAGTTTAGGGTTTAGGGTATTGAGTTTAAGATTTAGGGTTTAAGATTTAGGGTTTACGGTTTAGGGTTAACGGTATAGTGTTTAGGGTTTAGGGTTTAGGGTTTAGGGTTTCGATTTAAGTTTTAGGGTTAGAGTTTAGGGTTTTGTCTTTAGGTATTACGGTTTAGGGTTTAGTGTTTATGTTTAGGGTTTAGGGTATTGGTTTTGGGTTTAGAATTTAGTGTTTGGGGTTTGGGGTTTAGGGTTTAGGGTTTAGGGTGTAGAGTCTATGGTTTATGGTTAACATTTTAAGGTTGAGGGTTTATGGTTTAAGTTTTAGAGTTTAGTGTTTTGCGTTTAGGTTTTTGGGTTTTGGGTTGTAGGTTTAGGGTTTAGTGTTTAGGGTTTCGGATTTAGGTTTTACGATTTAGGGTTTAGAGTTTAGAGTTTAGAGTTTAAGATTTAGGGTTTAGGGCTTGGGTTTAAAGTTAAGGATTTAGGATTTAGGGTTATGGTTTTGGATTTAGAGGTTAGGGTTTTGGGTTTAGGATTTAGGGTTTGAGGTTTAATATTTAGAAATCAGGGTTTATGATTTAGAATTTAGTGTTTATGATTAAGGTTTAGGATTTCGAGTTAGGATTTAGAGTATAGGATTAAGGGTTTAGGGTTTAGGGTTTAATTTTAGGGTTTAGTGTTTTGGGTTTTGGGTTTAGTGTTTTGGGTTTTGGGTTTAGGGTTAAGTTTTAGGGTTTAGCGTTTAGAGTTTAGGATGAAGGGTTTAGGGTTTAGTGTTTAGGGTTTAAGGTTACGGTTTAGAGTTTGGGGTTTAGGGTTTAGTGTTTAAAGTTAGGTTTTAGGGTTTAGGTTTTAAAGTTTAACGTTTAGTATGTAGAATTTAGGGCTTAGGGTTTAGAGTTTAGGGTTTAGGATTAGGGTTTAGGATTTAGGGTTAGGATTTAGGGTTTAGGGTTAAAAGTTTAAGGTTAGTGTTTTGAATTTAGGGTTTAGGGTTTAGGGTTAGGGTTAGTGTTTAGGGTTTAGGGTTCATGGTTTAAGGTTTTGGGTTTAGGGTTTAGGGTTTAGGTTTTAGGGTTTAGGGTTTAGGGTTTAGGTAATAAGGTTTATGGTTTAGAGCTTAGGGTTTAATTTAGGTTTTTTGTTTTTGGTTGACGGTTTCGAGTTTCGAGTTTAAGCTTTAGGGTTTATGGTTATAAATTTAGGGTTTAAGTTTTAGGGTTTAGGGTTTAAGGTTATAGTTAAGGGTTTAGAGTTTTAATCTTAGGGTTTAGGGTTTAGGGTTTTGGGTTTAGGTTTGTAGTTTAAGATTTATGGTTAAGGGTTTATGGTTTAGGGTTTTAAATTTAGGGTTTAAGTTTTAGGGCTTAGGGCTTCGGGTTTAGGGTTTAGGATTTTGGGTTTAGAGTTTAGAGGTTATGCTTAAGGGTTTAGGGTATAGGGTTTAAATTTTAGGGTTTTGGGTTAAAGGTTTAGGGTTTAGGGTTTAGGTTGATGGTGTAGGATTTTGGGTTTATGTTTTAGGGTTGAGGATTATCGATTAGGGTTTAGGGTTAGGGTTTACAGTTAGGATTTAGTGTTTTGAGTTTAGGATTTTGGATTTAGGGTTTAGGGTTTAGGGTTTAGGGTTTAGTGTTTTAGGTTATAGTTTTAGGTTTTAGGGTTTAGGGTTTAGGGTTTCGGCTTTAGGGTTTAGGGGTTAGGATTTAGGGTTTAGGGTTTAAGACTTAGGGTTTATGGCTTAAGTTTAGGGTTAGGGTTTAGGGTTTAGGATTTAAGGTTTAGAGGTTGGATTTATGTTTTACGATTTAAGTTTGGGTTTATGGCGTAGTGTTTAGGATTTAGAGTTTGGATTTAGTGTTTAGGGTTTTGGGTTTATGGTTTAATGTTAAAAGTTTTGGGTTTAGGGTTTAAGTTTTAGGGTTTAGAGTTTAGGATTTTGGTTTTAGGGGTTAGGATTTAGGGTTTAGAAATTAGGGTTTAAGATTTAAAGTTTAGGATTTAAAGTTTTGGATTTAATGTTTAAGGATTTGGGTTTTGGGTTTGGATTTAGGGTTTAGGGTTATAGATTATGTTCTAGGGTTCAGAGTTAAAGATTTAGGGTTTAGGGTTTACAGTTTGGATTTAGGGTTTAGAGTTTATCTTTTGGGTTAGGGTTTAGGATTTTTTTTTCTTTTATTTGAACGACCCTTGGGGGGGTCAGGGGCTTAGCAACACCCCCAGGCCTTAGCATAAATAAAAGCTCAAAGGAGCTCAAAAAAATGTACAAGGAGGAGGACATAAACCTAACCTCCGATCCTATGGTGGGTCATAATTCGACCTACCTACTAAGGTTAGTCGACTCATTCCCATACTATAATGTAAAAGCCTAGAACTATGCACCTAAGGAGAGGACTCCTCTCAATACAAGGATTCTAGGGAAACATAAATAAGAGAGACTCTCCCCTTACAATATCCAAAAATAAAACAAAAGAAACCTATAGCTATTCAGAGAAACTATAATTTTAAACCATAGCTAAATTGAACAGTCTATGTTCATATTCAGGGAGGTTCTTTGATCCTTTTGATTTTCCTTCTTCTGAAACTTGCCATCTCGATCTTGTCTAATTAATAGTAGGCTCTTGCTTCTTTTGGTAATTGTTGGCTATTGCTATATATTTGGGACATGTAAATTTGTGACTTTGCTTTGATAGGGAGTCGGCCACAAAATTAGCCTCTCTGAAGGTGTGTTTGCATCTAAAGTTATGTGTTTGTCTGATGAGTTCCTGAAGCTGTTGTAGCTGTCAGCTGACGCCTCATGGAGGTCTGGCTTTCTGCGTGATCGATTCCACCAATAGTTGCGAATCCACTTCCAAAATGACACTCTTGTAACCCAGTTGAAGTAACCAGGACATGCCAATTATGGCTGCTCCTATTTCAGCTTGGTTGCTGGTTCCATCTCCCAGTGGGGTAGCAAAGGCTAGAATCATATCACCATTGTGTTCTCTGATAATACCTACTGCACCTATTCTTCCTGGATTGCTTAATGCACTACCATCCGTATTTAGTTTCACCCATTGCTCCGAAGGTCTTTGCCAAGACACTATAAACACCTTGGTATTGTGAAAACATCTCTCTGCCTTCTTAATCAATTCTGTCCAGTTTGCAGGCCATTTGATGTAAGTTAAAGTGGTGGTCAACAATTTGTAATTGTCGGGTTTAGGATTTAGGGTTTAGGGTTTAGGGTTTTGGGTTAGGGTTTTGGATTAGTCTTTAGGGTTGAAGGTTTAGGTTTAGGTTTAGGGTTTAGGGTTTAGGGTTTAGGGTTTAGGGTTTAGAGTTTAGGTTTTGTGGTTAAGGGTTTAGGGTTTTAAATTTAGGGTTTACATATTAGGGTTTAGGGTTAATGGTTTAGTGTTTTGAGGTTTAAGGTTTATTGCTTACAGTTAAGGGTAAAATGTTTAGTGTTTAGGTTCTCAGTTTTAGGGTTTTGGGTTGTGTATTTAGGGTTTTGGGTTGGTGGTTTCAGGTTTAGGGGTAAGGATTTAGAGTTCAGGGTTTCGAGTTTAGGATTTAGGATTTAGGGTTTTGGCTTAGCTTTTAGGATTTAGGGTTTAGGGTTTAGAGTTATGGATTTAAGGTTATTGGTTTTGGGTTTTAGCTTTGGATTTAGGGTTTAGGGTTTAGTGTTTAGGTTTAGGGTTATTGTTTAGGGTTTGGTGTTGTCACGACCCAAGCGTAGGGCCTAGACGTGACATGGAAAATGAGGAACCCGAAGGAACCCCAAACAAGCCTCTCAAACTTGTCATCACACTTCATCGGTCGCGGAAGTACAATCAACATTAATTAACTGGAAATAGGGACTAAGGGCAAACCATTTCAAAATGACATCATAGAACAAGAGTCAAGCTCATTTACAAAATACTTGTCCAACGCACA